TTCTTTGCTTATCCCTCCTCCTTAATCTGTCACCAATGAATTTCATGTAACACGCCTGTGTTCCTCCTTTGATTGCAATGTATAAATGCAGATGTAACCCCATCATTCTCCGGAGCACTATCTCAATTCGTTGAGGTTCTGCTTCCCGGCATATGTCGACAGTTTGGCTCAATAAACTCACAAAAATTCTTTACAGGTTTCAATGGTTTTTTCACGTTAACAATACCAATCACATTTTCATGTCTCTCCCCCATAAAATTTTTCCAAATATAAAGTAGTTCTACATAAACTAAACCAATAAGAAACAAAAAACAAAACCAACATTCAAATTTGGGCCTTTAGTACAGACTCTTTCTTTTGCATTTCCTTTCTCAGCTGCCTGCCTTCTAACAAGACAAACTTTTGGCAGGAACAGAGAAGGTATCCAGACATTTGGAAGAATGAAACAAGGAAAAGTCTAAATGAACAAACGCTGGCACTTGGAAATGAAGCAGTCTTTTAAAACCAAAGCACAAACAGAGGCTAAGTTATATAATACTTTCTGATAAAGAAATTTACTTTTTAAAAATCAGATACATGCAGTTCTCAAGGATTTTGAAGGCAGTTTCTAAATTAGTGTCTTTCAGATCAAACTGAGACAGTAATGTCTCAACAAAACCATCAGCATTCACATACCCCACACACAATTCTTTCACAGATTTAAGTTTCATGGTATAATCAATACGTGTGTCGTGACTTACTTGCTTCCTTCTGTAATGGGCAAACTGAGAGAGGCCTAGGATAGTTGCAAGAGCACCTCCTCCAGCAAGAATTGTCCCTTTTACTGCCTTCTTAAATGCCATTTCTTAGCCTACAAAAAAAAAAGGAAAAGGAAACAAAAAAGTTAATTAGGATTTTCATTACATGAACAGTCCAAATAATAAAGAGACTGTGTATTTATGAAACTATGTTAACCTAGAAAAGAAAATATAAAATAAGTCAGTTACTAACATACCATTTTGAGTATTTCCATTCAAAAACAATAAACAAAACAAAAAAAAAAACAATAAACACGGGAATTGACTATACAAAAGCCCCCTTCCAACAGGAATTAAAGAAAGAAAAAGCAAATTAAGGGACAACTGAAGATATTTAAACAGTATAAAGTCAAGAGAGCTGTGAAAAGAAATGTCATTGTGCATCTGACAAAACTGCACACTGTCCTCCCAGATTTGTTCCACCGCTAATCCCCTTCGCAAGGAGAACTAAGGAGAAGTCATCTGTCACTCAACATGACAATGAACTCCATGCCTGCTTTGGGCTCTTTGTCAAGTGTTTAATTCACATTGTGGTACAACTCCCTGAGTTTTCCCCTTCTTAATGAAGTTCTCAGTAGAGCCCAAAGCCCACACACTTACATTTCTATCCCTAAAAGAGTCTACACTTTACAGACAAAAAGGCCCAGGAAACCATGCCTTGATCCTTTCGCAGAGTGACAGTTTGAACACTGCTGTAGCTCCTTCCACTAAGGAAACTTTAAAAAGTTACCTCTAGCCGAGTTTGCCTGACACCCCTATTTCAAGGGAAAACCCTCCAGACCAAGTACTCTTTTGTGCCCACTGTATTCCTAAAGTCTAACATCGTGTTAGCTTTTGACCGTCTTTCTTCTCACCTTTTGTAAAAATATTTCTGCTATTAGACTCATGGTGTTTTTTTTTAAGTTTTTTTAAAGGCAAATATTCTTTACTTTTCAGAAAGCAAAAAAATAAATAAATAAGTAAAAAGCATAAAAATAAAAATTCCACTGGGGGGGAAGAAAAAAAAACCTCTTGCCAGTTTGTATTCTGTTAAGCAAAAAAAGATAATACTGTGTGATCACCTAAGAAGAATTCAAACCTACCTGCCTGAGACTTATTCACAAAAGGCGCTGGCACACCCACATCTTTCAGGGAAGTCACTACCCTATTTTCCTGAATGGGCGGAGGTCTGACCTGTCTAGACGACACACCTTATACTCTACAGATATTTCTTGCCTCAAGAAAGTAGTTGATATAAAGTCAGTTTTAACCGAGGATAATAAAGAATACATATCATCTCAATGTAAATTATGGCAGCTAAAATGTTTGGGTCCTAAAGCAAAGAACCACAGTGCAGTTGGTAACTATGATTCCACAGAAAATTTATTTTGGAATACTATAAGTTATCTACTAAAATAAAAGTTGGCATTTCTTGAAACTTTATTTTTACTCTGATCTCATTCCTTCTGACAAACTCCTAAAGTCTAAGATTTGTCTTTATTATTAAGATTCTCACGAAAAAAACAATTTCACAGGCATACATACATTCTCTGCTGCTGGAGGCATCTTCTTGACTGTCCCTTCTCGCCATCAACCATCCCCTCTCTCCCAAGTTGTGTACAACAGTTGGTATATGCTGGCTAGGTGCCTCCCTTCATCATTCAGTCAACCATAAACAAAACCTAATGTCCCAGGTTTCTCTGATGTAGAAACCACAATTTAGCCAATTTGGAAAGCATCCATTTGTTACAGCTCACCAGCACCGTTCCTACTACTGCTGTAAATGCTCACATGGGTGCCGATCGCACAACAGAAACCCTAGCAGCCCAGACAAGATAACGTACAATATCCAGGCTAACTGGGTCCCCCTGACAGGCAGGGACAGACAATAGAGACCTAGTTTTATTTACCTAAACAATGTATGTATCTGCCCTCCCCATACCAACAGCAGCCTGGTGGTTCCTTGGATGTGTTTTATAGCTGATTGACTTTAGCTCAGTTTCATTGCTTCTGTCTTGTTGATAATGTCATTTATGACCTCAGAAAGGAGACTACACATCAACACAGCCAACTAAGGGATGTCATATAATACAGTCAATGAAAATACTTCAGCAAAGGTGACCACTCAGCCAGTTAATTTTGGAGACAATTTTTCCAGTTGTCTAGGTTCCTGTATTCCTTGTTCACCTCATTATGTGACTTAAATTTCATTTGTCTGAAGCCAAACCTTGCTAAGGGGCATATTTTCATGGGATTTTTTCAATGAGCCACTAATACTAACAAAAAAAAAACCTGCATTAACACATTATTTTGCAAAGTTAGTAATAATATTGACTATAATCAATAATTTCTTTTTTCAGTAATTTCATAAGATAATCTATACTTAGGGAATCATTATTTCTATTGTGATCAAATTCATCCATAAGATCATCTAGCAATTCTAGCTAGTTGTAATGAGTAAATCACTCTTACAGGTAATTCAAAAACAAAAGTACACACGCATGTACACACACACACACACACACACACACAGCACAGAATCAGTCAATTTGACCTGGCTCTCCTAAGATGATGATGATGATGATGATGATGATGATGATGACGACGACGAGACAATAATGATGATTAATATTTATCATTTATTATCTGCTAATCTAGTACTATGCTTTTAATTCTTTATATATATCAGCTCACATCAACCTTACAACAACCTAATTTCATAAAAGAGGAAATAGGGGACTTACCCAAGGCCACTCCCTAGTAAGTGACAAAACGACAGTTTAGTCTATGTTCTTTTTTTTTTTTTTTTTTAAATATATTTTATTGATCTTTTACAGAGAGGAAGGGAGAGAAACAGAGAGTCAGAAACATCGATGAGAGAGAAACATCGATCAGCCGCCTCCTGCACATCTACTGGGGATGTGCCCGCAACCCAGGCACACGCCCCCGACCGGAACCGAACCCGGGACCCCTCAGTCCGCAGGCCGACGCTCTATCCACTGAGCCAAACCGGTTCGGCTAGTCTATGTTCTTAAGCATGGGTGGTTCTGCGCTGCCTTTATTCTCAAAGAGACACCCCAGGTTTTTCTGTTACTCCCAAAGGAAAGTCCTATTGTCAAAACTCCCTCAAAGTGTACAGTCCCTTGACTAAGGCAGTGAAGAGCCCTCTGATAAAATATCTACTGGTAACCTTCTGCCAGATAATGTAAGGACTTTATTTCAATGCTGAAAGAAATGTAAAACCAGATAAATATAGACCACGTGCTCTGGAGTACTTATACCCATTTACATTCCATTATAAGGAGAAAAGTTTGCACACTTATTATAAAAAGAAAAGATGTTTCCTTCTAAGTAAAAGCTGCAACCAGTAACTTAGCAAAGGGGAACAAGAATATCAATAAATTTTTACATTTTGCAACTAAAATTGTGAGAAAATCAAGGTAGAAAAATCATCCAAAAATATTAGCTTAGGCCCTTGCCGGGTGCTCAGTGGTTAGAATGCCCGTTGACCTGAGGACTAAAGGGTCTCGGATTCGTTTCTGGTCAAGGGCACATACCTCGGTTGCGGGTTCGATTACTGCCCTGGTTCGGGAGCATGCGGGAGGCAACCAATCGATATGTCTCTCACACCAATGTTTCTCTCTGTCTGTACCCCTCCCTTCCACTCTCTAAAAATTGCGGACGAAAGGGGCCAAATGCTGACCTGACAAGCTCAGGAGAGGCCTGCATGGCAGTCTTGCAAACTCAGAGACCTAAAGTAACCACAAAGGATGGTCTGAGATTAAACTTTAACTAAAAGCAGTTATGGCAGGCAGTTATGTCCTAGGCCGGTATCTTCACTGACAAGGTCAAACCTTACCTTAACTGAGCCTATCTATCTTTTTGCATCTATGATAACAAACCCTTGAAATGTCTGGGTAACTTGTGACTACTCTTTATCCGGAGCTCCTGAGGCACAACCAAATGGGCCCCAGGACAGATACCACAAATCCCTTCATCATCATGTTAATTGTTCCTGTACCCATCTAAGTATGTGTCCATCATTTTACTTTTTATCCAATCCCAGGGGTTTCCCTGCTTTGCTTATCCCTCCTCCTTAATCTATCACCAATGAATTTGAAGTAACCCACCTATGTTCCTCCTTGGATTGCAATGTATAAATGCAGATGTAACCCCACCATTCTCCGGAGCATTATCTCAATTCGTTGAGGTTTTCCTTCCTGGCATATGTCGACAGTTTGGCTCAAATAAACTCACAAAAATTCTTTACAGGTTTCGATGGTTTTTTTTATGTTAACAAAATCAATGGGGGAAAAATATACCCTTGGGTGAGGATTAACAAAAAAAAAAAATTAGCTTAGTCAGAATAGCCTGATGTCCATATTTAATAGCCCATGAATTAAATCACAAATACACTGACTCATGAGTGATTCCTGCATTTGCATAGACCAGTGCCAGCCCTCTAACTCTTGCAAGAACACCAGCCCAACTAAACAAAACCCTAAATGAAAGATACTCATTTAAATATATATATGGGTATATCAACTACCCTGAAGAGGATCACAATCAATATGGAGGATTAAATATCAAAGTCTGTCTTGTAACTCTGTCTTATAACTAATTGTGCTATATATTGAGTGCTGTTAATGCTCTGATAGACAAAAGACCCTCAATAGCCAAATCAATCTTGAGAAAGAACAAAGCTGAAGGGAACACAATTCCTGATTTCACATTATATGACATAGCTACAGTAATCAAAACAGTATGGTATTGGCATGAAACCACACAGAGATCAATGAAACAAAATAAAGAGCTCAAAAAATAAATGCACAAATATACTGTCAATTAATTTTTGACACAGGAGTCAAGAATATTCCATTAGGAAAAAGATCCTCTCTTCAATAAATTGTGGTAGGAAAACTGGACAACCACACGCAAAAGATTGAAACTGGATCTCTATCTTGCATCACACACAAAAATCAACTCAATATAGATTAAAGACTTAAAAACAGCCCTAACCGGTTTGGCTCAGTACACAGAACGTCAGCCTGAGGATGGAAGGGTCCCGGGTTCG